ATTATTGCTTTTGTAGACTTTGACAGCAGTTCAGTTACAGGTCATGCAGTCTGCGGCCCTCAGTGGATATCATGGATCTTAACGGATGTCATCCAGTGCTTCAGATAAATCACCTGATCTTAATAGGGAATTATATTGAACACTGTAGTCTATGGTTTATTGTAGGATCCGAGTGAGATCAGATAGGGCCACCAACTGTTCTCTCAAGAGGAGAGTCTGTGCAGATAAAGATGGCTCAGAGAGCAGAAGCGTCAATCTTCTATTACAGGATAAGCCCATACCTGAAGGGAATAACATGATCATCGAAAAAACATATGGAGCAACAATTCAGGAGACTAAAATACCTCAACAGAACTGTTGTTGAAATGACAAGTCCTTGAACCACAGTCACAGTAGATGGCACATTTGGCCTAATTTTCCAAAACATCGTTAGATGGCATAAAAGAACACATTTTAACCTTTCGTAACAATATGAGACCAATCAGACCATAGTGGTGTTTGCTAAGGCAGGCATCACAATTAATATTGTTCATGCTTAGAGTATGGAATTCAAACACACTGCATGATTTTCAACTTGCAGATGATTAAAAAAGGAGCAAAATTCCCATACACTTTGTGTAAGGGCTCGCTTTGTTGATTGTTGGGATCCTAGAGTTCTGTATGCTGACTTAAAGGCACAAAATGTAAGATTTTTTTAATTAAAATATCCAAAAACCACTAGAACAGTGTTATATATTTTGCTGACTTGTGTACTTACATTATCCCAAATGTTTCGAAGAATGTTTAAATCCAGAGAAATAAGCAATTTTAACTAGTGTCACGGACCGTGTCTATAGTGTCATTGTGTTGCCTGCCAATGACGTCTACGCCTTTGTTTCTTTGTTTGTTTTGAATACGCGCCCTCTAGCGGTGAAAACTTACATATTGTACCTTTAATTCACTTTTAAAAGAGTAAAGTTAACATGTGGCCTAAATAACCAGATGCTTTTCCAATTGCTTGAACTGGGTCATCAGTATGTATCAAAGCACCTCTTCAGTTTAAATTGAGTGATCAGATTTATATTTTCTTGCATGCATCTTGGAGGGTGTTTACACTTGGTATATTCATGATTCAGTAGGCATCCGATCAGTAAAAATGCATGACGTGATGAAATCTAAGTACTTCTATGAGACTTAAGCATTGATTTAGGCCAGCACACAAATACCTGAAAAGGCCTAGCAACCCCACAGAACACCCTAGCAATTCCAACCACTCAGAAAGCACTAAAGCTGTGCTTTTCGTCTCCAACAAATGACAGAACAGCAGTTATTCATTTCCAATGAGGATTAGTACAGGAGCTTTGTTACGTTCCGACCAAATGCTTATGCAGAATTTTTGAATTCGATTTAAGCTTTGGATGCATTGAAATATTTCAAGTTTTGCAGCTAAGACTGTATGTAACCACCTGACAGGATGTGATGTATTCTGATCAAAACCGCAAGTGTGAGGTGAGAATTACCAACACTTTTGCACTAAAATATTAATTTTCAAACACTATTTCTGTAGCCTTCCTGTAGCTGCAACAGTAGAGAATGGCACTAGCAATGGTCATAGGTTTGGCATAAAGTGTCAAATGCATGTGTATGTAAAATTGGTGATTAGGCATGGGCCGGTATGAGATTCTGACGGTATGATAACCTTAGATAAAAATATCACGGTATCACGGTATTGCGATTACAGCTCTAAAATATGTTATTTTTAAATGTCTGGGTAAAAAAAACAACTTTTTTTTCCACTGAACACATTTTATTTTTAAGAAACATATAGAACATTTTGGAACAGTAAACATGTCAGGCTAAATAATTAGAATAAATAATTAAATTCTTCTTAATTAAATGCAGTCACTTAAGTGAGCCTAAACCTGCATCTCAACAATAATCAGAACATAAATGATTTTCTGTAAAAAAAAAAATTCCTATAAAAAAAAAAAAATGCAGTCACTTAAGTGAGCCTAAACCTGCAGCTCAATAATCAAACATATAATCAAAACATAATTTCTGTAAAAAATTAAATAAATAAATAAATGCATGCATAAACCTGCAGCTCAACAAGGTTTTTGGAGACATGCTCGCTTTCTACACATTCATCTTTCAGTCCAAGTTATGATGCAGGAATGTTCACCTTTCCCGGATTAAGTTTGGAGCTATGGTTTGGAGCGGTGAGGTACGAGGATGTGTGCACATACACACATAAGGAAAGAGAGAGCGCGAGTGTCTCACACACACACACGCGCGCGCGAGCGCGGTCTCTCCGTACAACAGTGGCAAAGTTTTTTTTTTTGGAGGGGTCGTGTGACTCGCTACGCTCTTCGCTGCACACAACTGAGGGAGTCCTGCACTTTCCATCTTTGACGACACGTAAAAAAACTGCGCATACCGCAGGAACAGTATAACGGAAAATTTTAGTGGTCTTGAAACCGTGACTTTTCCAAACCGCGGTATACCTTGAAACCGGTTATCGTCCCATGCCTATTGGTGATTATGGATAAATATGTCATATATAATTATTACATAATTATTTACGATTGTTTATCCATAGTAAAGCTGCAATGCTTTTCTTTCTTTTGACACACTGGTGGTCATTTATTTTCTGTGGACATGTGCACTATTTATTTATTATACCATGGTGAATAAGTGGAGAGTAGGGGTGGGTGATATGACCAAAATCTTATATCACGATATGAGTAATTTTATATCACGATATAGTTATTTTTGCATTTAATAAGGTTTTTATGATATTGTGACGAGTGGGGGTGGGGCCGAGAGCCGTGGGAACGGAGCGAGGCCGGTGGAGTAATTGATGAGGGACACCTGCACCACTCACCGGTCTCGAGTCTCACGGAGGAGCTCCGGAAGGATAAAAGGAGGAGTGACAACAGTGAAAGAGGAGAGAGGACCAGGCCTGGATTTTATTTTGTGTTTTGGTTTTGTTTGTGCTATTTTGTGTTTATTTTATTATTAAAGTTTTGTTTAAGTGTTTGCCGGTTCCCGCCTCCTTCTTCCCGAACTACGAACGTTGTTACAGATATCAAAGTTTTTGATACCATAGAATTTTCTTAATTCTTGTCACCAGTGTCAATATCACAAAAAACTAAGCCTTAGGCCTACAAGCCTAAAAAAAAGACAAAAAGAGGAAAAACTCAAGCTCACTGAAAATAACTAACTAATTACAAGCAACATGACAAAACTACAATAAATAAATTCTACATACATTGTATAAATGAATCAAAAACACTGCATAGTTTTCACTGTGTAAATTAAATTTCTTATTAAATTTAAAAAAGTGATTTAGTCAAGAGCAGTGAGAGATTTTCTCTCACTCTTGTTTGGTTAACATGAATAACAGACAGGAGGAATAATAGGCAGCTTCCCCTTTAAGACCGAACATCCGGATCCAACTGTTACACATGCGTTATCTTTCTCAGCTTTTTACTTTCACTTAAAGGTGCAATAGGTGATTGTCTTCAGAATTTTTTTTTTTGTTATGCTGGTTGAAAGTCTCTTCACATCCCGATAGCAATCATTAAGTTAAGTGGTCTAAATGTATTTATCTGTATTTATATATTCTGTGGAAGGCGTAGGACCAAGAAATGTTCGTCCAATCAAAATGCTCGGTCCGAGCGTTTTAACTGGCTTTCCTACCTGCCTGTCAGCGTATGTATTTGCATACCTCTGCGCACCCTGTTCGCGCAGACAGGATACGTCATCAGTGCGTTCACGCACGCTGTGCAGACAGAGCGAGAATGGCAGACAAACATCAACAACCCGATCTTCCTTCCTGGTATTGTAGCACTTTTAAAGTTTTCTCACCGGTGAATGACACATGATGTAGTCCAGCGGTTCCCAATTCCTGTCCTCGCGCCCCCCAGCTCTGCATATTTTGCATGTCTCGCTTAGTTAACACATCCGATTCAGATAACCAGCTCGTTAGAAGTGAGCTACGTGCATGAACTGTGTTCCGATCGATATGATCCCTACACAGTGTTCATTGCTCCCTACTCTCTGGGGGGTGGGACGTTCGCTTTCAGTGCTATCAGGCTAAAGTTAGCATTTTCCAAGATCTCCTACTGCACCTTTAAGACCTAAATGACTGTTTACTATAAAACTCGCAAAGATGGGCATTTTCATACATATAAGTGTGTTTATTTAACCGTTCAAGGCCAGTAAAGCAACAAAAATGTTCACGCGCTCTTAGCAGCGGATTCATGTGTGCGTCGCTCAGAAACAGTCTCACAAAAAGCGTGTGCACATAGCGCTGTTGTTTGCATTTAAACTGCTTAAAATCACTTGTTTTTAAACCGCAATGCTTAAAAATATGTGCAAACAATACATTTTTGTGACCACGGCGCACCGCAACATGACGTGAGTACATAACTGCGATAAAGACGATAGTCCAAAATCTCTACCGGTTGACAAATTTCTACTTTTTAATCGTGTCTGCCGATATATCGCCCACCCCTAGAGTAACAATTGCTACATGACCAATATGAAAGTTCTGCACAATCTGCCACTAGGGGGCAAATTTTGAAAATCGTATACAAATGTCAGAGATATGGGCTTAGAAAGAGGGCTTAACAATGCCATTGCAACCACAGCACCCTAGGAAAGACCTAGCAACCTCCCAGAACACGCTAACAATTCTCTAGCAACCACTGTAACATTGAGGCAGCGAGATTTGCATGAGAAAGCTCCACTCATATTGTCTTCAGAGATCTAGTTTCAGTGTGCATTTGTACATTATGCATATCAAGACTTTGAAGTGAAGTTGTTTTGTTATTTTCATTACCATCATCTGTACTGGAGATGACCTTGTCAGCCTCCACTTGCAGCATTCTGAAAGACATTTTGTTTACAGTCACATGGTTTGTGTTAAACAAAACAATTACTTTTCTGTTGGAAAAGATTTGCATACTGCCAGCCAAGTCAGTGTTTAAACTTGTGTGTGTGTGTGTATCTTCCAGAGCTGCGGTGTAGTTGCGGTGTGCAATGGAGGATGGGAAGCCTGTGTGGGCACCCCACCCAACCGACGGGTTCCAGCTGGGCATGATAGTGGACATCGGTACGGATGCGCTCACCATAGAACCTCTCAATCAGAGAGGAAAGGTAAGACGACAGCTTTACTGCGCTTGTAAGGCATTCTGCTAGCAATTTAATCAGTGACCAAGCAGGTGGCGGCCATTGATTTTATACCATATTGTCATGCCTCATGTGTTCATACGAGGGAAAACTTAGCTTAGTTGCTAGGCACCTTTGATGCCCTATCTATCCCCTGAGACCAGAGTACCTCAGGCGATCATGTGATCAGCGTTTCTGCTGACGTGCTGAGTTTTTCCCACCACACGCTTGATTCACTTCATGATGTGTATAAAAGGCCTCCAGGTATCTGAGCAATAGGTAAAATGTGAGAACATGTGTATGTGGACTAGTGCTGTGCCATGTAAGGGTGTCACTTGCAGGGGCTTTGAATAAGTAATGAGCTCTACCTGCGGCAGGTGTGCGGGTCACGTTACACTCAGGGTAGGTTCATTAGACAAAAAAAAAAGCCACCTGTGTCTCGGCTGCTTACACGCTCACTTAGAGACTGTAGCACTGTGTGATATTTCTGAAATTGAAAAACCTGACAAAATCACCTTGCGAGGACATTCTCACAATAACTAAATAATGTAATATCTCTTGTCTAAAAGTGGTGCAAGGTGTATTTTAGGGTTAGGGTTCATCTTTAGGAACTATAATTCATGATGTGGCATCCATTTTTTATGGATCTATTCATTTATTCTGAAATGTGTTAAAAATGCAATTCATACTGTACATGCAATGACTTAAAATATGCTTTGGTTATGATTAGAATGTTTTTAATTTCTGAATCAAGGGATTCCTGAAATAACATCTTAAAATAAAGTTCATATTAGTTCTGTATAATTTTTTATTATTATTTAATACTAATAGTAATAATAAAGGAACAAACTTGCTTATTAAAGTTGAGGCATGAAGCAAAAGTTGCGATTGTCCAAGTGAAACAACTTCTTGAAAAATAAAAAAAAATGTAGGAAGGGACTTGATTTTGTCCATGAGGAATCGATTAGATTGTTGTCATTTGCTAATTGCTGTGATCTCATGTGAGTGACAGATTGCTGGAGGGAATTATATAGGGTTATTGTCCCATCCCTCATGCTGGCGCACATGTCGTCAGAGAAGAGATGGCAGTGCAAAGGGGATGGCAAGTCATTTTGATTAAAGATTACAAGGGCACATGAATTAAAAAAGTAAAATGTGCACGGATAAATCATTTAGCCTATTATAAACACTGCAATATTCCATAGAAATAAGAATAGTCCATTTTGATTTCATGGTGATGTTAATATTTGTAATTAAGTCATGTGGTGCAGCCAACATGCAGACACATGCACACAAAAGAACAGAACCGGAAATTATATCATTATTATTATTATATAATAATATAATAATAATGCCTACAAATCCTTATAACTATGTGTCAAGGTCAGTAAGTCTCTGAAAATATCTTTTTTTTTTGTTGACATTCCTATGACAAAGTCAGTTGTAAAATGTCATGTGGTGCAACTCCTAAAAAATGTTTGAAAATATAATTCTTAAAATAAATTAATAAATTAAAGTATTTAGAAATAATTTTTACCTGAAAGAAATTATTTTTAAATGGCACTTTAAAAAAAAAAAAAGAAAAAAAAAATCATATAATTTTTCAAAACCATATGAAACCAGCATGAATACAAAGAGCATATTTCTAAGAACTGTTTAAAGCTATAGATTTTATTTTCTTTGTCATTAACTCTCTTGTTTGTCATTGGCACATTAGCTTTTATTAAACAAAGGTAAACAATGCGAGACGTTCCCACTTGAATATATCAAGGTTGTGTGTGTTTTTTAGGTCAAAGAGGTAGATGATATCCATGACACTGAGGCAGATAATAACTTTCCTAATGTAAATGACTTATATAAAAGTGAGGAAGTGGAATAATGTAAAGCAGGAAAGCCAGCAGGGATGAGATGGGTTTTCTGGGAAAGGTCAGCCTGTCTCATCTCGCACTGAATAACGCACCGGTGTGATGGGCAGTTTTGGGTGTCTTATAATGTGTTACGTAATGGATTTCGCAGCTTATGTTCTCACCTTTCACATTAACATGACTTTACTGTTTCTTCTCCGCATTATGGCCGCCATTAGACACAATCAATCATGGCTGACCTAGCACCGCTCTTCGGTGTCATTTATGCAGTCGTAATGTATGAAGACCTTGAGTGTTTATAGCTTTACACCTCGCTGAAAGTAACCAGACAGAGTCGGAAATGAGAGAACAAACGGCTGCCATCATCTACTTGTTTTTTGTCCCATTAATCTTCTGTGTGGTCGTAAAGTCTGTGCGCTTTTAATAATATGGATAAATAGTGAAATAGGTCAATGTAGACAGTTGTTGTTAGGCCAGGTTTTTCATTTGGCCAGAGGTCACAAAGTTGACAGTGCTCATTTTGACTTTGCAGACGTTCCTGGCTCCCATCAATCAAGTCTTTCCTGCTGAGGACGATGTGAACAAACATGTTGAAGACAACTGTAAGTATATACCTTAGTTGGGGTGCCTCTTCCATTAGCATCACGTAAAATAGTTAAGCTTATGATGTTCAATGATATTCTCAAATTTACTTGGGATATATTTATTTACATGTTTACATATTTACTTCCAGGTTCTCTTATGTATTTAAATGAGGCCACTCTTCTGAACAACATCCGTGTCTGTTACAGCAAAGACTTGATCTATGTAAGTCAAATTGTTCTGAATTCTTGTTTTCCATCATGTCTGTGCCCTTTTCCAAGGCCAAAACTATGCAAATGCACAAATACTTGGCCAACTTATAACATAAGCACGGTCCAATTTTAATGACTTATTTTTGCGGATTTTGCAAGGTCCATTATCTATTGTCAATAGGGAGTGGTGCATAAAGATCTGCTCACACAGAAGTCCTTCAAACCAAGCAGCTTTCTGTTGGTCAATGTGGCAGATTAGCTGCGAATTTGACCAACTACGTGACACGAACAAGATCTGCGTATTAAACTTTTTTCGGCCTCACGCGAAACTCCAGTTGCACGGATTCCTATTCAAATGACAGGATTTACCATCGAAATTTAGCTGAACGATGGTAAATGTGCACTATTTTGGCAGTAATGAAGCTCAGTACTCAAGGGGGTGATAGAGTTGGCTTGCAGTGTTTGTGCCAGACTTTTCTTTAAACTTTGATTAACTTGCTTGACAAAATTAAAACTACAGTGTACGGGAAGTAAAAGTTTAATTGATTTTCACCATATGAAAATTGATTTTTAACCATTACTTATAAACCCTTGAAAACAGACCTGTAAACTCCCAAGGTCGTTAATCGATGGTATTTAATTTGCTTTTGTTGAAGCCATCAGCCTATTTTTGCAACCTATTTTTCAAAGAGTCATTTAACAGCAGAATTCCTGATAGCTACATTACCCGTGATTCTGTAAAGAGCTAATCGAGCCAAAAGATCTCTTCAGTGAACGCCCACTCCTATGAAGCACCGCAAAATATGTAATTTAATCTCTATGCTCTCAAAATACGAAGATATTTGTAAATAATGCATACTTAGCCATAAACCAAATATATATTTATTAGTGCTGTCAAATTGATTAATCGCGATTAATCGCATCCAAAATAAAAGTGTTTACATAATATATATGTACTGTGTATATTTATACTGTAAATGTATATATAAATACACGCACCTAAATTGTATATATTTAAGAAATATTTATATGTATATATTCATTTATACAGTGGGTACGGAAAGTATTCAGACCCCCTAAAATGTCAACAATTCTGTGTTTTTCTGTCAATATGGGGTGCTGTGTGTACATTAATGAGGAAAAAAAATTAACTTAAATGATTTTAGCAAATGGCTGCAATATAACAAAGAGTGAAAAATTTAAGGGGGTCTGAATACTTTCCGTACCAACTGTATATTCATTTTATTATATATAAATATAAATATATATTAAATAATATATTTCTTAAATATATGCATGTCTGTGTATTCATATATACATATAAATATACACAATACACACATATTGTATATTATGTAAACATAAACTTTTATTTTGAATACGATTGATCGCGATTAATCGATTTGACAGCACTAAATATAAAATACATTTGTTTTTTAAATTGGTATATATTTGTGATGTTCTGATGACGATGTGATTTACCTAATAGCTGGCTGATTTGTGTTATGGTTTATAACTCTTCAGCGAAGACTTTTTAGGGTAAAAAATTTATGGAAAATATTTCCGGATCTAACTTAACAGAAAAGGTGAAAATTTAAATTGCTGTCCCCCTATCCTCCATTGGCTCCTAAGTTTATACTATTGTTTGAACCAATGTGCAGGTCGGGATGCTCAAATGAACAGATTGAAGTTTTTAAGGCACCACAGAACCTACATATGTTGTCTCTGCATGTTAAGCTAAGCATTTAAATTACACCCATAACCTGAATATGTATAACAAATTGATTCTGTAACTAATTAAAGCTTCTTCTAATGAAACTACACTTTAAATTTTAAACAGATTTGGGGCATTAAATCTTAAAAAACTGCATGATGCATTCATGATGCTTAACAATCACCTCAGGGCAGTGTAGGGCTTCCAGATTCACGCAAAACCCCGTAGATCTCATTGGCAGGCATGCCTGCAGGCACGGAGCTGATGGGCATGTTATTGTCGTGCTCCAGTAGCCCTTATTAGCCTCTCATCTGAGAGACGGCGGTCCCGCTGTCAGCGTCCGCTCATCAGCACAGCGCCCGAGCCTGTCAGGAGACGGCCCAGGCCCTGCCCTAATGTGACTGCATGTCTCAGATGACCCAGCTAAAACTGCTCAGACGCTATCAAGTTGCCCAATGCACTTAATTAGGTCCTGTGAGGTAGCGACGCTCCACACAGCACAGCTAACCTGAAAGTATGAGGCTTTTAATGACAGCGGTTAACAAATCAACTATTGTTTGTACTTCAACCACTGATCTGTTTGGCCAAAATATGGAAGACTGCAAATACAAAGTCATACACCTAACAATGAACGTTTTAAATCGTCTCTGATCATGTGTGTGTTTTATTTCAGACGTCTGTGGCTAACATCCTGATTGCGGTGAACCCGTATTTCGACATCCCTAAACTCTACTCCCCAGAGACCATTAAGAGCTATCAGGGACGCTCTTTGGGGACACTTCCCCCTCATGTCTATGCTATTGGTGAGTGGGCACATGAATGTCTGGCTAATAGGACACCTGAGGATTCCGTTCTAAGTCTTTCTTTTGTAGTTATTTTTTTTTTTTAGATAGCTACAGTATTGACAGCGATTTCAACAAAATTCTGTCTCTCTCTCTCTGTCTCTGTCTCAGCGGACAAAGCCTATAGAGACATGAGAGTTCTGAAGATGAGTCAGTCCATCATTGTGTCTGGTGAATCTGGTGCTGGAAAAACAGAAAACACAAAATTTGTTCTCAGGTAATGGTAACTGTCTATTCATGGAATGCCTGAAACACTTCAATTAATATTTCTCACATGTATACAGGGTCCAGATCTAGTCGTTTTTGCCATACCTGGCAGTGGTGGTGAAATTAGGATGATATTTCTTTTTAGACATAATATATAATGTAATTTTTAGACAATAGATTTTAGACAATTAATATAAATATTATGGTGCCTACAAAACTGTTCAAAAACATAAAAACCCATTGTGGTTTTAATTTTTGTGACTTGATATGAGGATCATTCCATATGTGTTTCACTAAATCTTGAAAAATCAGCAACCGTTAGACTATAATGTTTACAAATTTGATTTAAATCATGTTAGCATGTACACTACAATTCAGAAGTTTAGGGTCAGAAATTAATACTTTTATACAGCAAGGGTGCATCAGAAGTGACCCGTAAAGACATTTATAATGCTACAGAAGATTTCTGTTTCAAGTAAATTATTACACTCAACTATTTTTAACAATGATAATAAAAATAAATGTTTCTTGAGCAGCAAATCTGCATATTAGAATGATTTCTGAAGGATCATGTGACTCTCAAGACTGGAGTAATGGATGCTGCTTTGCAAAAATTCAGCTTTGCCATCACAGAAATAAAATAATTTAATAAATATTTCACATTTGTATTTTTGATCCAAAAAATGCAGCCTTGTTGAGATCTCTTTTAAAAACATAAAAAAAAACGTTTGAATTGTAGCATGTTGCAGTGCTCAGTAACGTTAATGGTAAGTAAATATGTTTTATGATTTGTTGAATGAGTTTTGTCATTTTAATCATGTATCTGTTTAATTTCAGGTATTTAACCACATCTTATGGAACATGTCAAGATATAGATGAGAGGATTGTTGAGGGTAGGTTTACCAAAGGCACTTTTAACTGGTTGTGACTAGTACAGTAGTGTTTGATTTTTGCATACTGTACAATGCAAAATCTGTTTCTAAATAATATGTCTGTTCCGTGCAGCCAACCCCTTGCTTGAAGCTTTTGGAAATGCAAAGACGGTCAGGAACAACAACAGCAGCCGCTTTGGAAAGTTTGTGGAAATTCACTTTAATGAGAAGGTAAACTTTCTCTTGCTCTGAAGACTAGAATGTGATCTTGTAAGACTCAGTTACTAAGTGTGTTCATCGTGTCTTCAGAATGCAGTTGTGGGCGGATTTGTCTCGCACTATCTGCTGGAGAAGTCTCGGATTTGCATGCAGGGTGCAGAAGAGCGAAACTATCATATATTTTACAGACTTTGCGCAGGGGCATCGGAGGACATCAGGAACATGCTTCATCTCAACTCTCCGGACAACTTCCGGGTCAGTTTCCTGTGTATTGTGTGTCAGGAAACTGGAAAGCAATTAACAAAGCTTAGACACTCTGTTTAGCAGGAAACTTTGAGACTCTGTATTATAATTGGTGTGACCACAGCAAACAGACTGTATCAAAGCACACAACTCCAGGAAGTGCCAACTGAAGTTTTATCAAAACAAATCAAATCCAATTATACTTTAGTTTAGGTTATATGATTTCCGGCCTTTGTATACAGTGAAGCGTTGATGTACCACTAGATGGCATATTTGCTTTACAATGCTTATGAATGTATTTCTGCAGCTTTTGGTCTCCTATATTAACTACCCTCATTGTGTGTGCTTGTGTTTCACTCAGTATTTGAATCGCGGCTGCACCCGATACTTTGCAAACAAGGACTCGGATAAACAGATCATGCAAAACAGGAAAAGTCCAGAGGTGCGTATAATCATCTGTGTTTGGGAATCTCTGGGTCAGTGACGTGATGAGTCTGTTTCCTCCTTCCCGCATTCTGATACACACATGTGGCCAATTTGAAGTAATAAACAGCCCTTAGCTGAGCTGCTGTAGTAAAGATATCAGAGTCGTTTTTGATGTATGATCAAATCCTTGCTGTTTGTGCAGTGAAATTAAGACTAGAGGACATGCTGAATGAACACACCTTGAGCGCAGCCAGAATCTCTGAAGTTGCAGGATCACCGTTTTGCCTCGAATAGAATTAGTTACCCACAGAAATTAGTTCACGTCTTTGATGAATCATGTAAAGTGTAATAAATTCCAGCGTTGTTCTGTTGTGTTTGCACACAGCCCTCTCTTGAGACCGAGCCCATCAATTGATGTTATTGTTATCAAGGGCCATTATTATAAATCATCGTTGTGTTGAATCCCCCTGGAGGTGATGAGATCTTCATTAGCTGCTGTTTCTATTGGTGCAGTAGTTCATTTGCTAGCTCAACACCGTCTGTTTCACTACATTTTTTCACTAGATTAGTTTGATACCCAAAATTTGCAGATGATACTTTTGTTGTTGTTGTTTTTTCATCCTTTTTTATCATCCTTGAACACTTCAATATCTTAATGAGTTTGGGTCGATATTAGGATATTTATGCAATCCGTTTTAAATTCAGAATCGCTTAGGCTCTGGTCCAAAACCAAGTGAGCTGTCATAGTGCCTATATACATCCTAACCAAGGAACCTTATAAGTGACTGATTTGGTACTCTCTACAAAGACAGGAAGTCCGCGCCACACAAATAGAATTCAAATTGACTCGGCTGACAGTTTTTAATCTATGCAGTTTCAAATCTAATTCCAATCTTGTTAAGCCGTGACATAAGGAATACATTAATGTTTCCGGGTCCAAGTCTCTATTCATTTCAATTGAGAATACTATCGCAACAGCCATTTTTGAGAAATTTATATTTATATTAAGCTAGGCTTTTAAAAAGTCATTGTGTCCTGGACACCAATAGTTTAATGATTCATAAATCACTGTATGGCCATCTGAGATTTCAGTAGTATTACAGCACACCGTGAATGTATTTTATCACCATTTATTCTTTGCTTTTGCCTTCTGATAGAGTGTTTAGACCTGGAAATGGTCACATGGCGTGTCAGACTTAAGCGGATAGAGTTAGATTAGCATGCTGCTATGCTAACAGCATCATACTCTAATAAGGATAAAAATACAAAGCGCACACACATACTGAGTAAAATAGTACATTTTTAGTGATACTTTTCAAAATTGAATAAGATTTAATTGAATTTGTTTTTTGTTCAACTTATTAGCCATTGAGCTCTGCATTCTGGGATTGCCTTCTGAAAATAAATATGTATGAAAGGCTACCATAGAATTTGGCCAATACTGCGTTTTTAAAGTGCCCAGTGGTTCTCAACCTTTTTGACTTCAAAGTCTCCTCTTTTCAAAGACAATATTAAAAGGCCCCCAAGATATTTTTCATACCTACTGTATGCCATAATTACAAAGCTGCTCATTTTCATATTTACAGAAAAAAAGTAGAACTATATTGAAGTAATTAAATTAAATTATTATAAATAATTTAAACAATTCAATTCCAGAATATTTTCATTTTTTTCTAGATTTCTTAGCATTGTCTTTATATCTTGATTAGTTTTTAACACAATGCAAATCTAAAAAAAATTATAAAAGATGTAGATTTTGATTTGATATTTTAACACCTTTTTGGTTGTTCAGTTGCAGGTTTTTTTCTCTTTTTTTTTTCTTAAATCTTACATTTTTAAAGATGTTATTAATTTCCATTTTAAAAATCATGCACTTAAAATTACTTCATAAAGTATATCCAGGTTTACTGTCTGTGAGAACCTTGGTTGATAAAGATTTTAAACATTACAGATTAAAGGAACAAATTAGAAATACAATGTAATTATTATTTTATTTGTAATGTTTTAGCTTATTTTAAGACTTGTTTTGTCATTAAAATGTCACCTGTGTAGGCGTTGGAACAGAGCACTACTTTTGTAGCCATTTTGTTTATATAACTGAATATTGTGTCTTTGCCTTCCCTGATCTTTTTTAAAATTCAGGATCATAAGGTGATGTTTTACCATTTGGCCTTTCTAAATGCTTTTCATGCTTTACATTCTTCAGCTTTCTGGGTTTCTGTGCATGAAATTGGACATTAGTATGTGCATGGGTCTGCAAGCTAATATGCATGAGGCTTTCTGTGTGGAGAAAAAAAAAGTATTTTTGTAAGGGGTGCTTGTAGTTATGGTTATTAAACAGTGTTTATGCTCTATTGTGGTCAGAGTGGTGTGATCTGCTTTGTCATCAGACTGCAGATTATCAGTTTGTCAGTGATTTAAAGGCATAGTTTGCTCAAAATAAAAATTCTGTCATCATTTAATGTTAATGTTGCTCTTTTCAATGCAACAGCAACATAAAGTTTCCTCAAACAGAAAATCATTCAAGTTTAGAATGAAAGGTAATTAATTGATGACAGAATGATATATATATTTTTTGGAATATGACTGTAAAAGAGAGTCAAAAAGGAAGTGCTGGCACACTCTGACCCTCAGGTGTGGTTTGTTTTCTTTTCCTCTTTCCTTCAATCAGAGATCTAGATCTGTATACAGCCCTCCAGTATACATTTCTGATCTCTGATTATAGCTGCAGTGCCACTGCATTTTCTTCTCAGGTACTTGCAGTGCATGTGACCTATGGATATTGTTGTGTGTCTTGATGGTCCTTTGTTTCTGTAGCATGGGAAGGTGGGTGCCCTGAAGGATCCTTTACTGGATGACCTGGGAGATTTCAACAGAATGGTGGTGGCCATGAAGAAAATCGGCCTGGATGACACAGAGAAGCTCAATCTCTTCAGAGTGGTGTCTGGCGTCCTTCATCTCGGCAATATCGACTTTGAAGAGACAGGAAGCACCTCTGGTAGCCATTCATATTGCACCTGTAGAAAAAATACCTTCATCAAAGATTGAATGTCCTAACCCAGCATGATGTGACAAGTTTCAAGCATAAAGTAATTTTGTCAGAACAACCAGTCAGAACATATTTAATGTTTAAAGGGGTCATATGATGCTGCTAAAAATAACATTATTTTGTGTATTTGGCGTAATGAAATGCGTTTATGTGGTTTAAGGTTCAAAAAACACATTATTTTCCACATACTGTACATTATTGTTTCTCCTCTATGCCCTGCCTTTCTGAAACGCGTTGATTTTTACAAAGCTCATAGGTCTGAAAAGCGAGGTGTGCTCTGATTGGCCAGCTATCCAGTGCGTTGTGATTGGCCGAATACCTCAAGCGTGTGACGGAAATGTTACGCCCCTTACCATATAGTAATGCCCTGTCCGGCCGGAGCGACAAGACAAAAACATTAAAACCCATTATAAACGAGGCATTTGTTGCATCCAGTATTTGAGACTTTAATCTTTGCAACTTTACAGATCTTCTTTATGCACCAAGAGCTTGTAACACTCCAAAGAGAAAGGAAAAATTTAAATCGCATCATATGCCCTCTTTAATATGCAACCAGTGAGATTTCACTCTATATAAATTGGAATAAAGCAGAACTAGAAACCAAACGGCCGATAAAATGTCTTGTGTCGGTTACAATTATGCCGCTTAGGACAAAAAAAAGAGATGGGATTTATCGCTTGTTGCTTTGTCATGTCATGCTTGGTTTATAAATATTCGGTTTCTTTCAGGATAAGAGACTTCAAAATACAACCAATTTTGCTTTTATACAGAATTTTCACCATCTGCGTTCAGTCAGGGAAGAAATTTTCACTGATGTCTGAAGTGTTATTTTATTATTTTTCGAGCTCATGTACATGTGCTGATGTTCTCCTCATTAAACTCCCTCCCTCTCTCACACACACACACACAATCTCACTCTCTCACTCACACACACACACACTCTCACACTTACACACTCTCTCTCTCACACACACACACACACACACACACACACACACACACACACACCCAGCCCTCCTCCAACTCAAAAGACCTCATTAGAGAGCTGCTGTGGAGGTAACGGGGCTCTTTCTAGTGTTGCCAGACGTGCATCCAGGATTTGTTTTCCTCTTCTGATGAAGGTACAACACCTTTTACCACTCTGGCCTGCTCCATTTCTCTGCTCACAATGGAGCTGCTGTCCTGCGATACTTTCAGCTGGAAAACACAGAGCCTAATGTTACAGAGGTCTTACAGTAGACCTGAAGACTATTATGTATGAGAACATATTTTTGAAAAGGGCTGGAGATTGAAGGAGTGTGCTTTTATAGATTAGTTTTTTTGCACACTTTTAGCTCTTTTTTTTTTGTATCTATTAATTTTAATCTTCTATTAGGAACATTAGGAATTCTTCAAATTTTTTTGAAGGCATAAATTTAAAAAAATGTCCTGATATGAAGAAAAAAAAAAGCGTCATTAAAAGAATTAAATTCCTGTAAAGGAAACCTCTTTTTAATTAGTTTGGCATAATCTTTTATTGTGGCATAATCTTATATGGCATAATCTTATGTGGAGAAGAATATTTTATAAAATATTAGTATAATATTTAATATAAGTATTTAAAAAAAAAACTGAAATCCATGTTATGAGACAAAACTGCTGAAACATGCAGCTAAAATAAAGTAAAATAATAAAATAAAATGAAACATAATAAAAAACAACAACTGTCATGTCTGTGTCAAAATCAGTTCTTAAATTATCAGGTATTTTGACCTTTTAGGACATGACAACGTTCAGCTTTTAAAATGTCATGTACAAATGATAAAAAATAAATAATTTATAATTTGTACCACATGACATTTTAAAAGCTGAACCTTGTCTTGACAGGATAAATAAATAAATAATTAATATATGACAGGATATATTTATATATATATCTCAAAATATGTCTGTGTCTATTATACACTGTCTAAGGATTAAATTTTCTTCTTTGAAAAAGGAAATTTAAAAAAGGATTCAATCTAAAGGATTTAATTTTGTTGCTGTATTTATGTTGATTTCATTTGGTTAAAAAATAAAAAAAAGTGAATACCATTTTAAACCTTATATATCCTTAATTTATATTTAAAATCTTTTTGGAAAATAGCAATTAAGATGTGTACTCTAATGTATTCAGAGTACCGTCGATATAAATGACACGACATTTAAATTTAAACTTGTTTAAAATGGTATTCACTTTTGTTTTAACCAAATGAAAACAACATAAATGCAGCAACAAAATTAAATCCTTTGTCTTAGTGTATAATTGACGCTGACATATTTTGATCGGATTATACAACGGGGAATAGGTCATTAACAGCTTCGAAAGCATCAGTACATTGAAACATTTAGAAAACTCTGCTGTCTAGACGCAGCATAAGAAACATGATGAGCCACAGTTTAAAGATGACCATTAAAAATTTGCATCTGGTCTCAGGTGGCTGCATTCTGAAGAACCAGACCAGTCAGACTCTGGAATACTGTGCCGAGCTCCTGGGCCTGGACGAGGACGACCTGAGAGTCAGCCTCACCACCAGGGTCATGCTCACCACTGCAGGGGGCGCCAAAGGCACAGTCATCAAGTGAGTGACCCCACATGTTTACCGTACCATCTGCTCAGCCACTGACCCTCTGGTTTTGTTTTATTTCTCTGTTTGCATCCAAATGATAATCAAAAAGTAAGCACAGATCCCTGCTTGGTATTTTTCACGTTCTCCTCACATCTCAATCTTCCCCACGATGTGAAACGTCTTCTAGTATTACATTTCATCATTGCACCCTATTCGCATTCGCATAACTGTTAAATGAATTCTCCGGTCGCTCGCTCACAGACGAGAGAAGAGCTGAAAATAGCTAATCGCAGCTTTTCCATTAGAGATATGGTCAGTATAATCAAATGTGGCATAGACTAAATTGGCTGAGGGGCCGTAATATTCTAGTTGCCATCCAAAGTCTTCTGCATTTAAACGGACGTATTTCTTTTTATTGGTTACGTAAGAGAGAAGGCCTGAGGTATCAAGCAGCTTGTTTCAGACCACTCCACTACTGGTTAAAGATGAGTCTTAGGTTTGCAATTTTGTGAAACAAAAGCCCAGGTCTTCTCAGCTTTCTCCATGCAAAACCCACAGTCCAATTACTGCACACGCCAGTTGTCGAAGGAGAGAGCAATTGGAAAAACTCGATTGCCTCGATTGAATCGTACGCTCCGTTCTTCGTCGCCCAGGTGGTGTTTTATATTCTGCACCGTCTGAATGATAGGCCAGCGCTCGTTGGATTAATATTAAACCGAGCACAGATGCTGGACTGGGAGTGTTTGCACTGCATGAATAATGGATGTTTGTCTGAGGGAGTGGCCTGGGGTCTTTTAGGTGTGATGAGAATCAAAGTTGCAAGAGGTTTCACTGCCCTCCTCATTTGACTGCGAACAGATGCACAACCACGTACATATGCACTATGCGTTCTATGGAAAATTATGGAGACTGTATTCAAACAAGGCTACACTGACCCTTGCATTTCACACCGCCAGACACCGGAGAGGGCAGCAGCTTGTGCCTGACAGAGCCTCATTTCAGAGGCATATTGCGATTTTTAAAAATCTGTTAAACTCAACAAAGCAGGTGACATTGAGAAGGAAGAGCGCAGCAGCCTCTCGAGGGAATACACTAATAACATGAAAGCGAGCTAATGAAAAGCAATCTCGTAGACTCGAGATCATAGAGATTATTGTGAGCCAGGTCCAGCTTTTATTAACTGTGCAGGCAATAAGAGTCACACAGCAGGTATTCCCACAGCGGGACGGCGTCGTCGAGAGAGCAAGAAGGTTTTATCATCCAGTTCTGGAGTTTCAGTTTGCCGGTATCCGTACGCCTCCTGAGGATAGTGGTGGAGCCGTTGTGTCTTGTGATTATGAGCTGCTTTGCTTTAACAGGCGTGTGTTATAGAGATTTATTGTGTTTTCATGTAATATCGCCGGCCTGCTGCATTTCAAGCCCTTTAAGCTTCACTGGAATTTCAAGTGCTGTTTGTTTTGCGTATATACATTTATCAAAGTTCCCGTTGCAAAATAAGTATGAATGGATCCTTTTCCCTGTGCTGTTTTCAGTTTAATTATGTAATTAATCTGCAGGAGGACCATTAAGTCGGTTTTTATACACCTGATGAACAACAAAGCAGAAAAGGACGATGTTGGAATGAACGTTTTTGCATTAAAAGTATTCTAGGCCTTTTAGAACCAATTATTTGCATACTATTAACAAATGTGACCCTGAACCACAAAACCAGTCATGAGGGTCAACTTTATGAAATTGATATTTATACATCATCTGAATAAATATGCTTTGCATAGATATATGGTTTGTTAGGATAGGACAATATTTGGTCGAGATACAACTATTTGAATATCTGGAATCTGAGGGTGCAAAAAAACTAAATATTGAGAAAATCACCTTTAAAGTTGTCCAAATGAAGTCCTTAGCAATGCATATTACTAATCAAAAATTAAGTTTTTATATATTTATGGTAGGAAATTTATAAAACATCTTTATGTAACATGATCTTTACTTAATATCCTAATGATTTTTGGCATAAAAGAAAAATCGATCATTTTGACCCATACAATGTATTTTTGGTTATTGCTACAAATAGGGTAGCAATTAGGGTTACATATTTTCTTGAATAGTTTTAGGAATCGTGGTCTTAAGGGAACTCATGTAATTGTCATTTAAAAAAACAACAACTTGCTTTCAGCAGAAAACTGTCCCAATTTACATTTGTCCTAATAAATACAAGTCCACCCTCAAAAAAAAAAAAAAATTTCTCTCATATGTCGTTACCAAACAATTTCACCGATGCTTAAATGTATGGCTGTAACAGCCGTAATTATATTCGTTTGTCCTCTGTATAACTGTAGAAACACACTATTGTCAGGTCAAATAAAGTCAGAGGAGATATTTCAGCAGCCTTGAGCGTTTGCAATCATAATGGAATTGAAAGGAAAATAAATTAAATTGACTCAAAATTATTTCTCGTTGGCGTTCTGCTTTCCCTTAAAGTGTTTTTACACATTTTGCTTAGAGTGGTAAAACAGCAACTGTCTTAAGAGTGCAAAGTTGGACAGAGTAAAACAGAAGGGACATGTATTGATGAGGCGGCATTAGCAGAAGCCCTGGCCCAGATTTTGACTCCTCCTGTCCCACTTTGCTCCTCTCCAGGGTGCCTCTGAAGGTGGAACAGGCCAACAATGCCCGTGATGCCCTCGCCAAAGCCATTTACAGCCGGCTCTTTGATCATGTGGTCAAACGGGTCAACCAGTGCTTCCCCTTTGATACGTCCTCCAACTTCATCGGTGTGCTGGACATCGCTGGCTTCGGTGAGCCCGAGTGATAACCACAATGGATGGGTCACGTTGGCTTAAATGAATGTCCTCATTTACCTGTTTTTAATGGCTCTTACATTTTCAAACCAATTGTCAACCAGATGCATATGAGAAATGAGACAACTTAGTCTAATTTTCTAATACACATGTTTTATGACTATCATCAGCTTTACAAATGGAGAGATTTTCTAAATTAATATGGATTTCAGAATTTTTTGGTATTTGAATTTACTTATTTGATTAGACACATAGAAGTCATACAGAATCTTAAATATTTCATTAATGTTTTAATGATTATTAGTTTTAATTACAACTTTTAAAAAAATGATTTTCAGTGAGGTCTCAGAGTTTTGGACCCCACTGTATGTAACTATAGCTCTTTCTGAGCTATTTTGACTTGCGTGAAGCTCTTAAAGGTATATTCTGGATTAAATATGACTCAAATGTCAAAATTATTTGTCAAAAATATTTAAAATAAATGCATTTACTTTCTAAATATAATAATAATAATAATTAGTGCTGTCAAACGATTAATCGCATCCAAAATAAAAGTTTTTGTTTACATAAAATATGTATGTGTACTGTGTATATTTATTATTTAAATATAAATGCACACACATACAGTATATATTTTGAAAATATTTACATGTATATACATTTATATATTTATATTCTTATATTTTATATAAATATATTTAATATATAAACATACAATTTTTCTTAAATATATACATGCATGTGTTTGTATTTATATATACATAATAAATATACACAGTACACATACATATTTTATGTAAACAAAAACTTTTATTTTGGATGCGATTAATCGCGATTAATCGTTTGACAACACTAAAAATAATATTGAAAAATAGGGGAAAATGCTAACAAATAAAGATAAAGAAATATACTTTCAATTAAAGTCTGTAAGGTAAACCTGCAAAACAGTATGGGGTAAGCGTATTTTCATTATAAGTGCATAACTGCCATTTTTTTGGGTCTTTATAAACCAAAATTATTTATCATTGTAATTGACAGCAACAGATGCTGTCTGTCGATAGAGGTTAACTTGTATGTAACTTGGAATATTCCTTAAACTTTAAAATAAGCACAGTGTGGGATATGACTCATTGAATATATAGAAGATGAAATGATTAACTAGCTATTAGCTTGTCTTACACAGAAATAAGGTTGAGAATATGCTGTAGGATTAACGATAATTGGCTCTCACTAGCAGTGTATCTGTAATAGTGTGACTGTTAAATGCATTTAGAGATCTACCTAGCACATGAATCATAAAATGCTTTTTTTATATTCCTGTTCAGAGTATTTTGAGCACAACAGCTTCGAGCAGTTCTGCATCAACTATTGTAACGAAAAGCTGCAGCAGTTTTTTAATGAACGCATACTGAAAGCGGTGAGTCATCAGTGTTATTGGCATTTTTTGTATCAATCTGTGACTTCTTAAAACTGACGCATGAAGCCATTTCATCTTTCATTGCAAGCACACAACTGCTCCGATTTAACGATTCCAGTTTAACTTCTTTTGAGACGTTCTTGTTCCAGCAAATTAAGTTAAGCGTTTTCCCACTTTGAGCAAAAACGATGCTCTTATCTTGTGTTGTTTTTTTTTCTTTTCACCCCAGGAGCAAGAGCTGTATCAGAAAGAAGGCCTGGGAGTGAATGAAGTTCATTATGTTGATAATCAGGACTGCATAGGTCAGTGTCCCTTTGGCTGTGAATAACAATGACCTTCCTCCATTCCATTCATTACCGGATGCACTATGGCCCATAGACGCCAACTTAAATATAATGAAGTTCTCCGCACGTGGAAATGCTAAGGTCTCTAAACCCAATGTGCTACAGCGCAAATGTAATTTCTTCTCAAATTATGACCTTCAGAGGTCAAATAACTGTTCCCAGACGACAACATCGTTATTTGTATAAATCGCCATGTCTGTTACTCTCTGGACAAAACATGCCGAAGATGAATATTCCAGCAGAAATCCATGCTGGGTGCCTGAGATAACACAGGAATGAATCCTGGGAGGAACCTCTCTCACACTCGAACTCTCTGGAGAGGGTTTAGGAGATAAGATGAAGAGTTTGCACTGTTTTAGTTTTTTGTTGCCGGCTTGAGCAGTGTGGTCTGACCTAAATCACCCTGTCAGAACAGAAAGTCAGTTCAATCTCAGGACACACGGTGAAATCTTCGCCCGGTTCACTGAATGCAAATACCATCACCAGACCGAACTGTGCTGTCTGGAGGTATCAGAACCAATGCCTTTTATTTTTTTTGTCGGTTTGTGTTTTAACCCCTAACGACTTATTGAAGATCTTCCACGTATGCATTGCAAAAGAAACCACCTCTTTTTTTTGCCCAAGCTGTCAAATCTTAACGGCTTGTGCGAGTTTGCACAGTATGCAGGTGGCTTAACATAACATCTTGCCTCTGATGTGGCGCAAAAAGTAGGCACACAACACCTGCATCGCAGATGTCACTGCTTTTCCAAAGGGAAAGACTCGCTTTCCTTTTGCCAGCTCTGCTTTTCCTAATTCTCTTGATAGTGATGCAACACATGTCCTTGTGACTTCCAAATGTACGCGTAGGTCCTTTCCCTGCATGTCTCCTCATCAATCACCTCACATTTATGCTCCGGTGTCTGCTCACGACTTATTGAAGATCTTCCACGTATGCATTGCAAAAGAAACCACCTCTTTTTTTTGCCCAAGCTGTCAAATCTTAACGGCTTGTGCGAGTTTGCACAGTATGCAGGTGGCTTAACATAACATCTTGCCTCTGATGTGGCGCAAAAAGTAGGCACACAACACCTGCATCGCAGATGTCACTGCTTTTCCAAAGGGAAAGACTCGCTTTCCTTTTGCCAGCTCTGCTTTTCCTAATTCTCTTGATAGTGATGCAACACATGTCCTTGTGACTTCCAAATGGACGCGTAGGTCCTTTCCCTGCATGTCTCCTCATCAATCACCTCACATTTATGCTCGGGTGTCTGCTCATGCAAATACATGACTACGCTTGCGTCCACACCTCTCTCACCTGCGCACGTCTCAGATGAATTATGCATATGACGGATGCCTTCGCACTGATTATCAAAAAGGTCTATGTGTGCCTACAGACTTTGCATTCGTCCATTAAACTTGCTGAGTTCTACTTCACTTTGGATAATACCTTCTGCGGGGGGATTGAATATATTAATTTACTATTCAACTCGAATTCATTCGCATACAAAGTTTCTGTCGTCAGCCCCAAACTTCTCTCTGTGACTTTATTGCTTTGCAGATCTGGTTGAGGCAAAGCTGGTGGGTATCTTGGATATTCTGGATGAGGAGAACCGTCTTCCCCAGGCCAGTGATCAGCACTTTGCAGAGGCGGTTCACAGCAAGCACAAAGATCACTTCCGTCTCACTGTAAGATATGGTTTGGTTCTTTCCAGCAGCCACTACAATATAGCAAAGAAAAGCTTGCACTGCCAGCCTGCAGTAGTAGTTAATAGTATTTTTTTCACTTTCTGCATTTTCATCTGACCTTCAGTGTCATCATGTAGATATCTTAAGGGATTGTTAAACAGTAGCCTAATATTTAGAGGAAGATGGAATAAGATGCCCCTCCAACTTGAATTTTCCTCTTGACTTTAGATGTCACTAAATCTAATCTCAGGACATTTATTAATGTTCTTATTCATCTTGAACATCAATATTTGAAATATATTGTGTCTGAAGAATTTTGAGTGCAAATGTAATTAATTTAGATTTGTATTGTTAAAAGTTTTGATTTGAAGTGAAAAGTTAAAGTTAGATGATAGATCTCTGGAGTATTAGTTATTTTTTTTTAATAATTTTTGATGTACATCCTCATTGTTCATCATGACCTATAGGCTAATTGAAAATATTGCTCTGTATTCATAAAATGATAGTGTAATTCATATATATCTTTTTGTCTGGGATTCATTTGATTTGTCATTATGTGATATTCAAATAAATTGTCAAAATGCATACATTTACTTAGAATGTTTGATTTAGTATTTAACTGTACTGACATTTAAAAAAAAAAGGAAATCATAAAAATTATATGTATTTAACATATTATGCAAAAATCAGATGACAACGGTAGTAATTTACATAAGGGGGTCTTTTTGCCCTAGATAGGGAGTCATCTTACCCCAGTAGTGGGGAAAGATGGCTCCTTTTCATGATTTTCAATTTAGTGTTATAAGAATTAAATTAGCAATTATTTCCATTAATTTCCCTCAGTAATATATTTGATGAAGTTTCATTATCCTGTATGCTAATGCATTTGTAAATATGTTACAATTTAGCATTAAATTCACAATGTTCTTCAGGGAGGCATCTTCCCCCATCTTACTGAATATTTCCACATTGATTATTACAACAAACATGTCTTAGTGCTATAATTGAATAATACATTAAACTTAACTATAAACTACAAATATACATATATGTTTTGGCATTATATTAGGCTACTGAAACCTGGGAAGAATTAATGTGCTTATGTTTAATGAAAATACAATGTTGCAATGCATAATTAGGCTACATTTTCCTTATATGAAATGTTATTTGTTACTTTATTTCTTTTGATTAATGGGGTTAAATATGACCTGGGCATTCCTTGACAGTTTTTTTTTAAATGTGATTTTATCCTGACATTCCATCAATGTCAAGACCTAAATATGAAGGAAGCCATTAAAATACAGCTGCAAAGATGGATTTTTCTGAAAGTTTAATTCTGTGTGTGCTGGTTTTTCAGGTGCCCAGGAAGTCAAAGCTTACAATCCACCGGAATTTGAGAGATGATGAAGGTTTCATCATAAGACATTTTGCTGGCGCTGTGTGCTATGAGACTGTAAGGTCCCAATTCACTCAATTCATTCTGAATCCCTTTTTGTTTGGAAACCATCTAATTGTTTTAGTTCTGTAACGTGACAATGTTTAACATAAGTTAATTAATTTCTGCCACACTGTAAAAACAATTGGGCCCTTGGGGGAATCCCTTTGGTAAAGTTGTTGTTTTGTTTGTGAGGTTGACTTTGTGTTTATTTCTATGCCCTGTGGGATTTGTATGTGTGTGTATGTATGGTGTATGTGTGTGAGCAGACCCAGTTTGTGGAGAAGAATAATGACGCCCTCCACATGTCTTTGGAGAGCCTGGTGTGCGAGTCGAAGGACAAGTTTGTCCGGGATCTCTTTGAGAACAACTCCAATTCCAAGGACTCAAAGCAAAAGGCTGGCAAACTCAGCTTTATCAGTGTGGGAAACAAATTCAAGGTGAATCTGGCCTTATGCTTTGAACTTCTTATTCTCCTGATAGCCAGGAAACACATTTTGTCAAAGGTGTTAACAGGCCTGAAGATATGACAAAAAATTGTAAGCCCTCAAGACTGCAGGCTTTCCAAAGATTAGGAGTTCCTCAAGGCTTTGTCTTGAGACCGCTGTAGATTTTGTTTGTGGGACTAGATATTCATTAAGTGGTTTTCTTTTTTGTTCCTCTTGATAGATGTAGGTTTTAAAAGCTTTTGTGAGTGACATTTTACCTCTTACCTGGTGATCTAATTCCTTTCCCTCTAACTTTTGCCCTTTCTTCATCCTCCTCTCTTAGACCTTCTCCTGTTTCTTCAGCCTTTCCCTGTGAAAAGTTCTGGGGCTGAAATAAATATGTAAAGAGAAACAAGGAAAAACTGAAAAAACTGAAGCTTTTGTAGGGTAAGCCTGGCTGAAATATTCAGTGCCGGCACCACAGGGTAACCTGCAACCTCAAACAAATGCAGATCTTAGTTTTCTCCCACCCTTCTCCTCCAGCCTATTTCACCCACTTGGTCCATTGCCATGTCTTTGTGCGAATGTGGCTGCCACATTTTTGTCCTCCTGTTATAGTTTGTCATGAAATCATACACAAGAAATGTATACTTTAAGAGAACCTTCACTGTAAACACATCACCATGTCATTTATGTCACCATTATTGAATGTGTAGAAAAGATCTTCATAGTTGGAACAATCACTGACATAATGCATGTCTGTTACTTCCTGTATGTGTCAAAATGTTTGATACCATTTCCATAGCAGCACAACTCTACAACTGTGTGTAAACTGATTTTTACGAAAAGATACTCTTAATTAAAATGTACAGGACTCACTCTCACATTTCATTTCTGATTAACTTTTATAGACCCAACTGAACCTTCTACTGGAAAAGCTACGAAGTACGGTGAGTAATGTGTCATTTATTCATTTTAAAAACATTGGCCACTTGTTTTGGTTATTACTGAGTGTGTCTAATGCATGCCGCAAATCAGGCGGCACAGCAAATGATGCAACGTGACAGTTGCTGATTTATGGCACTAGTAAATGGCGCACAAAAATGAACAAAATGTACTTGTTTGCTTTACATGTCAAACTTTTTATATTTTATGTTAAATTATTGAATGCATACTTTGAACACTTTGTTATATTATCCTGGCATTAAATAACAAACAAAAAACTAGTCAGTGCTGCTGCAATTATTTTATTATTATTATTTTTTTAATTAAAGCTGCTAACGAAACGGCTGTAAAATTGACATCTTTGTCTTTCGAATTTAAAAATGCAACAAATTATTATTTTTTATTTCCTGTTGCAGCTATGTTACAAAAAATATTGATACTGTCTCTCATTTACACTAATGGTTAAACATTTTTTTATAAGATTTTTTTTTTAAACTTTTATTCAGCAAGGATGCATTCATTTATTTTAAAGTGGATATAAATGCAATAAGAAACATTTATTGAGCACCAAATCAGCATATTGAATGATTTCTGAAGAATCATGTGACACTGAAGATTGGAGTATAGTCTGTTGAAAATTTAGCTTTGCCATCACAGGAATCAATTACATTTTAAAATGTATTAAATTAAAAAACTGTTATTTTAAATTCGAATAATATTTGATTTTTTGATTTCATAAAAAACTTATGTCTGAATGACAGTGTACCTCCTAAAAAAGTTTACTATGTGTTTCAATCCCACATACAATATATAAAAAGAGTCCAATGTAAATCCTATGCCATTTAGTCAAAGGTCTTGTTATGCTGACTATAAATAATATTATTTGTTCTCTGTTAAACTGTAACAACTTCTCATGTGTATGTGTTGAAAAGGGCTCTAGTTTTATCCGTTGTGTGAAGCCTAATCTGAAGATGGTGAGCCACCAGTTTGAAGGAGCTCAGATTCTGTCTCAGCTTCAATGCTCAGGTATGTATATGATTATATAGGTGTATTTTTTTTTAGTTCTCAATTAATCTCACAGCACTTGTGGTAATGCTTCAAATATTTCAATTCAAGAAAACCCATCACAAATACACAGCGCTCATCAGTCGCAAGCTCCCTTTTAAAACAAATCCCGATATTGCCTATGGAGCGGCCATATTAAATGTGAGCTCCACTGATTTTTCATTATCTTTTGGAAGTGGCGTTACCACAAGAGTGTTTTGAAGGTTGGTGGCTGTTAGCAAAGTTTTAGAAATAAACTTTCAGGCAAGAGATATAAGAAAAGTATATCCTAGGAGATCCACTGGTATGTCAATTTGACAATTAGTTTGATACTTTAGACCTTTGTTGACTAGTCGTGCACCATATAAGATAAATGTAGACTTATCAACTACAGTACTTGCCTACTAGCAAGTAAGTACTACTTAGTAAGTACTGAGTAGTAAGTGTACTAGTTTATACTCCTATAAGCTCATTCTGTGAGTTTTTTTGACAAAGGCAAGTGTTCAAGTACAGGTGGAGTGCACACGTTGAATCGTCCTTTAAAGGGGTCATATGATGCGATTTAAATGTTTCCTTTCTCTTTGGAGTGTTACAAGCTCTTAGTGCATAAAGAAGATCTGTAAAGTTGCATAGTCTAAAATCCAAAGAGATATATATTCTTTATAAAAGTTAAGAGTCAACCACGCCCTCCTAAAACGCCTCGTTCAAACACACCCCCACATGTCTACGTCACTGTGTGGGAAGATTTGCATAACGCCGCCCAAATGTTCACGCAAAGAAAGAAGGCGTAACTTTTATTCTCGCTGTAGTATTGTTGTTGCCGCAGCTGCCATGTCGTGAAGGCGCTGTGTTTTGTTGCGAAACATCTTTGTTTGGCCTTCCAAAAGAGGACGATATCCGCTTCGTCATGCCTAGAGCTGATCCGTGCTGGTCGCTGAGGAAATACATCAACTTCGCGCTGTGGATCGCCGGATCGGCTTTCACCGTGGACGAAGCGGAGTCCAGCCCGGGGTCATCACATGTGGTTGCCGCAAGCCCGCCGGCCACTATTTCTTCGAATCCTTCTTGAGTTCCTCACTCAAGCCTGCCCACCGCCGCTCACTCTAGCCCGTTGTGTGTGACGCTGTGTGTTTCGTTGTGAAAGCGAAACTAACGCTTGAAGTATTCGGCCAATCACAACGCACTGGATAGCTGGCCAATCAGAGCACACCTCGCTTTTCAGACCGATGAGCTTTGTAAAAATCAACGCGTTTCAGAAAGGCGGGGCATAGAGGAGAAACAATGTACAGTATGTGGAAAATAATGTGTTTTTTTGAACCTTAAACCGCATAAACACATTTCATTACACCAAATACACAAAATTATTTTTAGCAACATCATATGACCCCTTTAAACTTGCTTCATGCTTCAGCTCCAGTCTTTAATGAAGCAAATCCTGTATCTTCACTGGCTTCATGAACTGTTCTTCTCTTCTCCTCTCAGGCATGGTATCAGTGCTGGACCTGATGCAGGGTGGCTTCCCCTCCCGAGCTCCGTTTCATGAGCTTTACAACATGTACAAGCAGTACATGCCCAACAAGCTCACAAGGCTTGATCCTCGACTTTTTTGCAAAGTAAACCTCTATTGTTTATTTTTATCTTGATCGTTGCATCTAAAATTAATAATAGCTCATTCTATTCTTATTGTTATTCACCTAATGTTCTTGTGTACATAATTAGGATTAGTATGATATATGGTGGCTAGGTGGATTATTTTTTAGAAAAAACTACATGGCCTTTCATATCCATGTGCCAAAGCACGCACAGAGTAATCCCTCATTGATTTCCATGATAAATGATAGTGGTTTATCATTGGTAGTTACAGATACATTTGAAAGTCAAATTACATTTTAATCATACACCCATGGTTAAATATAAAGTATTTACTTAATCATAAAATGTACAATTAGATTCCACACGAATACAGTATATGATTAGGCTGCAATTAATGATTGATTGCAATTATTGAAAATTACTTCTTTATTCTGATGATCATGCTTGTAATGCAATGTCTAGACTGTAGAGTATAATCAAGGTTTAACAACAAGCTTTTTCCCTGCTGTCTCTCTCAGGCCTTGATTTTGGGATTTTACTGAAGCATATTTTATGAGCATTTTTTAATGTCTGGTCTTTAAATGTTGTTTTTCCCCAAAAACTATTTCCAACAATTTATGTTTTTCATTTGCTATATAACAGCTGAAAATTTTACCACTATAATGTAACTTTTTGACAGCTACAAACTTCATAAACACTTTAGCTGGGTTACAGTGTGTTCATGGTGTTGTTTGAATCTATTTGGTGTTTTTGAAAAGTTGTCAGTGACAAATCTTAATTATGTCTTGGATCAATGAAAAGGAAAAATCTTTTAAAAGTCTAGTTTAAAATTCTTCGAGATGTGTTACTTAAAGAAAAATCAGGCCTTTAGTTTGAATTTTCAGTTAAGCATTTTTAGGAGCTTATTTGTTTTATAAATGTAATTTTTCATGAAAATTCATTTCATTTTTTCCCCTAAAAAAATCTGTTTACAACAATTTATGTTTTTCATTTGCAATACCAGCTGGAAATTTAACCACTATAATGTAACTCTTTGACAGCTACAAACTTCATAAACACTTCAGCTGCAAAGTGGCAGAAAACATTACTGACTTGTTTATTGTTTTCAAATCATTCTGATTCTAACTCACAATTCACTCTGGCAATAATGTTCAAAACAGCACAGAAAACCAAATGTTTAAGTTTCCAAGGAATAAAAACATCAAATGTAACATCACTGAAATGAAAGAGCATAAGCACAGGCTCGACGCCGTCATGCCATTCTTGTTGATATCTGATAGACATTTAATAAAGTACACACTGCACTGTCTGATTATATTGTCTCCTTCTGCAGGCTCTGTTTAAAGCACTTGGCCTCAACGAGAACGATTACAAGTTTGGCTTGACCAGGGTTTTCTTCCGCCCCGGGAAGGTGATAATTTCTTATGATATTTCTCATGAGGGTTGGGATAATACAAGACTGTTAAAACCGCTGTACTGTTTCATTAAGCTGGTGCACACGGGAACCTCGTAAATGCAGCTATATAAATCCTAACGTGTGTCTGTGTTTGCCTCAGTTTGCAGAGTTTGACCAGATCATGAAGTCTGATCCGGAGCACCTGGCCGAGCTTGTAAAACGGGTCAATAAGTGGCTGGTGTGCAGCCGCTGGAAAAAGGTCCAGTGGTGCACACTGTCAGTTATTAAATGTACGTCACCCTTCATAGGTTACACCCTTCACTGAGGTTCAGTAAACTGCCTTTCATAAAAGCAATTAAAAGCATCCCATGCCCTCCCATTCACCTGTGCAGTGTTACAGTTTGATGAGTAGGCATCTTTTTCCTCTTTCTTTTACTTGGCACAGTGAGGAACAAAATGAGCTTCAGGGCCAGTGCCTGCATCAAGATTCAGAAGGCTGTTCGCATGTGGCTATGCAAAAGAAGACACAAGCCTCGGTATGTACACACACCAGCACACCTCTATTAGTGACCGTGATTGCTCATGCATAGCAACGTCAGTGTGAGGATCTGTTTTCCAACACTTATGTCAGTGTGGTGTCACTGTGTTGTTTGCATCTGTTTGGTGTTTTTGAAAAGCTGTCAGTGACCGATCTGAATTATGTATTGGATCAATGAAAAATCTTTTAAAAAAAGTCTGGTTTAAAATTCTTAGAAATGCATTCTTTCATGTTTGTTTCATGTGGTTTTGAAAAGCTTTTATACTTTTTTCCAAGAAAGGTGTACCATATTTTTATTACCTTGAAAAGATCTTAAAGGCACAGTTCACCTAAAAATGAACATTTGCTGAAGGCCATCCAAGATGTAGATGAGTTTGTTTCTTTGTTGATTTTGAGAAATTTAGCATTACATCACTTGCTCACCTGTTGATCCATTGTAGTGAATGGGTGCCGTGAAAATGAGTGTCCAAACAGCTAATAAAAGCATCACAATAATACAATCTATCAGTTAATGTCTTGTGAAGTTGAAAAGCTGTGTATTTATAAGTAACAAATACTGTTTACTTCATTAAGACGTTTTTATCTTGAAACCATTGCTTCAAACCAAAAATCATCCTGTCTGAATCGGGAGAAAAATATGCACAGATCAAGCACTGTTTACAAGTGAAAACAATCTAAAATAATTCTAGACAAATAAATTGGTGGATTTTGATGTGAGAGGACAACAGGTGATGGACTTTTTTCATGGCAAAAAGTGGTATTATGGATTATGGACTCGTTATAAAGCCTTGATGGATTTGTTTATTTTAAACACACAGCTTTACACTTCACAAGATGTACATTTATGAACTGGCGTCATGTGGTTTATTGTGATGTTTTTATCACCTATTTGGACTCTCATTCTGACGGCACCCATTCACTGCAGTGGATCCATTGGTGAGCAACTGATATAATGCTGAATTTGGTGTACAAAGTATGTATTTTTGAACAAACTAATAGACTGGACATAAAAGTGAATACCATTGTCTCTATTGTCTTGGCAGCATTGATGGCATGGTGAAGGTGAAAAATTTGAGGAAGAGGATGGAGAAATTCAACGAAGCTGTAAATGGACTCAAAGAGGGAAAACAGGAAATGAGCAAACAGGTCGAGGAACTGGCCGCCTCCACCGACGCCCTCATGGCCAAGATCAAGGTGAGCTTTTCCACTGGAAAACCGCCCAAGGTTGACAAACCCCCTTTCACCTCCTCCAGCTTACAAAGCACAATGATGTTACGTGGTGTAGCTCTTTTCTTAGTCTGCCGTCGTATATCGGTTTCCATGCATAATTCAACAGGTGTGCGTTTTTCCATGTCCTGATGAAGGCGGTCTAAAGCTGTGGCTAGAATTGTCTGCCAGCTTCAAGTGTCTCTCTTTTTAGGGTCCAAAGAAAGAGAGCAGAAGCTTTTCATCTCATTCAGCAGAAAATCTAGCACTCAACAGCAGAGTAAATAAATACAAAGTATGCAAATCGACAGTCGACAATGAGATTTCTGTCTGCAGATCATCATTGACATTCGCACCACACGCTGTCAAGTCGATTTTCAAGGTTTTGCTGCATTATGCCGTTTCTAGTGTTGATTTCTTGCCTTTGAACTTTCAGCTGCGGCTGATTGAATGCAGTGTATGCATTGTTGTATTCTCTACGTGGAGCCCAACCTCATCTGTCAGACTCGGAGTGCATTATTGACAGGGAGCTCGAGAGACATTGCGCCCTCTCCCTGATAGATAGCTGGCACCAGAGCTGAAACTTTTCTACCTGAACACTCCATTCCTCCCTCTAAATGAGATGCGCTCTGCACTTCTGCACCCGAGATAGCCCTCTTTGTTATTAGCATAGCACGTTTTGATTAGCATCTTGTTTTTGATTGGCAATGCCTCCTATTACCTTACCATCTGGACTGGAGATTACTGTGGCCTCCCTGGCTAATAACGTAGATTGTGTCAATGGCTGTCATTCAACACACTAGTGCTAACTCATCTAGCGTTAGGGGGTGAGACGGACCTTGTCATTGAGTCCCCACCCCTCTGCGGTACAATGATCATTCACAATGCTTGCACCCCTCCACGCACCTCTGGTGCTCTGCCAGATGGCACCAAATCCACATCCAGGTTTAATGAATATCTGCAGGATATTAATACAATTGCGGTGCATGTGGCCCAGCATCACCGCTGTCGCCAAACTAACGAGTAACCACTGAGTTGCTGACACTTTTTTTGCGAAACCTTGTTCAAATTTGTTTAACGAAGCACAAGAGGAAAAGCTTTTTAAAGGAGCCACTGAGTGGCCTGTCCTGTCATCATTTGTCATCATTTGTCTTCCAACCTCTTATTATTATTTTCTTTCTTCCTGGAAAAAACAAAAGGAGATACAGTATTTAGATATAATGTCCAAGCTTCTGTGTTCAATGCAACGAAAGTGGATTGTGATTTATACTGTCAAGCTTTGAAAAGTACTTAAAAGTATCATAAATATACAAATGACAAACACTAAATTGTAAGTCTTCTCATGAAAAATGATGAGAACCAAGATTAAATTGAAGTTGTTATTTACTGAAAATCCTACAGTACCCTCAGTTTGAAAATCTAATTTTCAGTCATGTTAAATACACACTTGGAAATCAGTGGTGTCTGCCATCAGTGATGGCAAACCTGCTCTGACATGTACAAAGGCAGTATTTTTTTTTTGTTGAAAACAAGCTCAGATGACATTTGTGAGAATACGTTTGGTCAATAACGCGATACATTTTGGTTCCTTGCACAAAACTGTTCTATTGTTAGGGAACACACACAATTTTACATGAAGAGACCAATATGTTTCAGTGAAGACCAGGAGTCAAATTTGAAATTCAATCAGTTTGCTGAAGACTCTAATGAAGCACTTCTAAAGGCTGTAGAAAATGAGTAAGAGGATCCAGCCTTTAGAATACAAAAACTAGTACTTAAAGTCATATGGATAAAATAAGAATGAGAACAAAACATCAAACTCTAAAACTCTTGATTCATTTGACTGCATGATGATCAAATTAATTAAATACAAAACAAGTGCCTATTTTATTTTCTGGCATCCGGACTAAATGAATAAACACTGTTATTGCATTCCTGACATGGGTCACACCCTCAGTCACCTTACAGATACCAAATATAGACATTGTCTATAACCTAAATACCAGGATAGATACACTGGTTTTATAAAAACTATTATTTCCAATCCATTATAAAGTTTTTCTGTTTGGCTGATGCGTTCGAGGCAGGAGTTTTATGTTTATTTTTATTTTATTATTTTAGAGTGGAGTTCAAAACCCTAGTTTTAGTTTTTAAGTCCCTAAACAACTTAGCCCCCTCATATCTAACTGAGCTTCTATCTCCACATAACTCTTCTCGAGCTCTTCGATCCGGTAGTCATAGATTGCTCAATGTTCCCAGAGCCAGACTTAAACAAAGAGGTGAACGTGCCTTTGCTGTCGCGGGTCCTATCCATTATAAAGTGCAAGAAGAGGGATTGTAACTCCACTCATTCATTCCCCCATTAGAAACCATGTTGGGGTTCAAAACAAAATGTTAGTCTAACTTAAAATAAACCATAAATAAGTAAGACCCAGATTAAGCCATCTTTAAAAATAGAAATAAAAGGAATCATAATCATTATTTCCTCAAAAACCTAGCACAGTTCCTAGTTTATTACTTAATAGCCCTTTTATTAGGTTTTCCTTTCACCACAGATCCATTTGCAATCATTATAGCCCACATACAGTACTGTTTAAAATAACTGAACATAAACCTAAACTTGTCAATGTTACGAACATTTGGTCGAAATGACATTATAAGTATCAAAGTGTATAACTTCAAAAATATATCTTACTTGTTCACTTATTGTCATGCATGTATTGTCTTATCATGACATTACTGTTAATCATACTCAATGCCTTATTATTATTATTATCATTTATGCAAATCTTCTCGATTATCATACCATATTACTGTACTCTGACTAAATTAACAGCATATTCAGAAGCAAATTCTCAGGACCTGGTGTAAAGTCAATTTAGTTCTCACTGTCTTGTCAGTTAGAAATGCTTACAGGTCAGCTACCTGATCAACGTCTTAAAAACCCTTCATTCATGTTTGTCATTTGGCAGTGATACTCATTTAATCAAACTTGTTATAAACCGAACAAGAGCAGACAGATTTCCCAATCCTATCACCAAATAAACAATACTATTGCTTAGTTCTAAACTGCCAAATATTCATTAAACAGACTTCCTCAGTTTCTGTAAAACAGTGTACATGATCAAAAAGCCCCTGTCAGTGTTCACAATAATAGTATTAATTTACTTTGACTTGACAGGTGTTCATAAACAGCTCCATAGATCCTATTACAATTTTGATGTTTTAAACATTAACTTCAGCTGCTATGTTTCATTTAATTAAAACCTCTTGTTACTGTATTCCTCCATCAACAGGTTAGCCAGCAGATCCAAACGTTTTTGTTAATTTTATGCAACGTCAGTGTGAGGATCTGTTTTCCAACACTTATGTCAGTGTGGTGTCACTGTGTTGTTTGCATCTGTTTGGTGTTTTTGAAAAGCTGTCAGTGACCGATCTGAATTATGTATTGGATCAATGAAAAATCTTTTAAAAAAAGTCTGGTTTAAAATTCTTAGAAATGCATTCTTTCATGTTTGTTTCATGTGGTTTTGAAAAGCTTTTATACTTTTTTCCAAGAAAGGTGTACCATATTTTTATTACCTTGAAAAGATCTTAAAGGCACAGTTCACCTAAAAATGAACATTTGCTGAAGGCCATCCAAGATGTAGATGAGTTTGTTTCTTTGTTGATTTTGAGAAATTTAGCATTACATCACTTGCTCACCTGTTGATCCATTGTAGTGAATGGGTGCCGTGAAAATGAGTGTCCAAACAGCTAATAAAAGCATCACAATAATACAATCTATCAGTTAATGTCTTGTGAAGTGAAAAGCTGTGTATTTATAAGTAACAAATACTGTTTACTTCATTAAGACGTTTTTATCTTGAAACCATTGCTTCAAACCAAAAATCATCCTGTCTGAATCGGGAGAAAAATATGCACAGATCAAGCACTGTTTACAAGTGAAAACAATCTAAAATAATTCTAGACAAATAAATTGGTGGATTTTGATGTGAGAGGACAACAGGTGATGGACTTTTTTCATGGCAAAAAGTGGTATTATGGATTATGGACTCGTTATAAAGCCTTGATGGATTTGTTTATTTTAAACACACAGCTTTACACTTCACAAGATGTACATTTATGAACTGGCGTCATGTGGATGTTTTTAATGTTTTTATCACCTATTTGGACTCTCATTCTGACGGCACCCATTCACTGCAGTGGATCCCAACTGATAT